TTTTGGGGACTTTTTAATATTGCACATATTCTAATCAATATGCGAAAACATCTACAATTTCAAAAAAAAAAAGAAGTGCAAGACTTCATGAAATACAATAAATTTTATTTGAAGGAAAAATATCTATGTTCAATTATTAGAAGGCACCGCAAAAACTTCAGTATTTGCGTTGAAATCTCGAAATTGATTTTCCGACGATTTTTACATAACTTTATCGATTCTACGAATATTACTCCGTACATACGTACGTATACGAGGAAGTAAAAATTGCCATATTTCACGCACAATTACGAAAAACTACTCAAATTTTCGAAAAATTGAACTTTTAAAATCTGTGTCTAAAAAAGACATTTGCCCTGAAAATCAAACAACCCGTTTCAAATGCAATGGGCTCAGATCGATCGAAGGATACCAGCTTTCAATATATTATTTGTGAGCTTCTGATTAGAAATATCGTGTAATTATGTCCAATAAATTATTTTAAGACGGTCAACGTTGTATAATGATTAAAATCAATACATGAGTGCTGAGATTTGTTTTGGATTATGGATGTTTCGAGCATGTAAGCAGACAGTATGTAGGCACGTAGTAAGTGCACTCATCGTCAGGAGATCTATCAAATTACAGTTTGTACTTTTTCCTACACGTACGTATGTATACTGAGTAATATACGTACTATGGAGAAAAGTATGTAATAATGCGGAATATCGATTTCGAGATTTCGACAAAAATACACGTTTTCGAGTCCCCAGATCAGTGATTGCTGGTGCCCCAACAGAAGGTTGCACCTCCATCGAATGACGGAAATGTAATATCCAAAATTCAAAATAAGAAAATATAATAAAATTGTAAGCAATTCAAATTAAATAAAACTAAGTTAAAGAAAAGTCCATATTGAAGCATTACTTACGTAATTTTATGCGTCGTGACCGAAATAGGTATAATATACACCGCGCGCGAGGTTCTGGCTTTGATTTCCACTGGACACTTAAGTTCGCAACAAGAACTATTGCTTCGTCATATTTCACAAAAATAAAATTGCTTTATTTCGAAACTATCACTACCCAAGTATATTTTGTAACAAAGATCCTTCTACATACACGCTCATATTCCACCAGCGCTCTCCGTGGTGTAACTGCAGCCTGCTGCATCTACCGAGAAAGAGACTTCCTTCCAGATCGACCAACTTTCCCCAAAGAATTCATCAAGTGTAAATTTTAAATCAGAAAATCGAATATCAAAGGAAAACAAATTCTCTGAACACCATAAATAATGCATTAAATGCCGTCAATAATTGATTGAACTTATGTACTTTCAAGAAGCGAAATTCATAAAATTACGATGCAGCGAGGCAGACGAAGATTGAATTTTGGTATTCCCCTGAGACTCCGTCGCCGCGCGGCGCTAAACAGCGCAACTCGTCTGGTTGTTCGACCAAAAGACCGTATGTTGCCCATAATAAATCGAAAGGCCAAAGAATAAATGCAGTAAACCCAGTAATACAGCTAAGATCCAAGACCGTGATGCAATATCATTAAGAGAAAAATGTATATTCCTACGATATTAAGAGAACTTTATCGGTTATATCTGGGGGTTGTGCAACCTAGAGCCGCCACTGCCCCGATACCAAAAAAAGTGTTGTTTTCTCAAAAACGTCCGTCCGTCCATCTGTCGTATGTGAACAGAACTCGCGCCTCAACTATACATAGCCCTTTTACCGAATAAATACGTATCGATCTGGTCTCAATCGAAGATCTGTGATTTTGAAAATTAATCATTTTTGGATTTATTTTAACTGAAGCCCCTGGGACATTTTCAAAATTTTCTAAAAAATTGCTCCAAGTTTTGTCTTTAAATGCCTTGTAAGAATAGAGTGAAATGTATTTTGAAAGGTCAAATAGGTCTTATTTTCACTGAATTTTCGAGAATTGCGAAAGTTTGAATTTATCGGCTTCTTCCTACGACTAGAATATTGAAGATAGATTTTTGAGTTCGCTTTTTAAGATAATGGCGTTTAAGCGTAATTGTAAATGCGAAATTTAAAGCTCTTTTTCACAGAAATATTTTTGAGTTTTCTAAAAACTTCATTTGAAGCACATTATCTCAAAAATGCAATAGTAATTATAAATTGTTAGAAATATGCTTATTAACGGCGTGAGAGGTATTTAAAAAAAATTACATTTGTGTGATTTTTGAAAAAACGAAATAATACTCCAAAATGAACATTATGTCATATTCAACAGTGCAATTAGCACTATCAGGTGAAAATCTTTGAAAAACATCGTAGCCATGTTTTAGAAAATACGGAATTTTGAACTCATTTTCACAGAAATGTTGAGATTTTGAGAAACTGTATGTGACATTATCTAAAGCACATGTATTCACAAATACAATCATATGAACAAATCGCCGCTAAATTAAAAATTACGACGTGATATACATCTGACATCTTATAAGAGTATATTTAGCACTCTCACTAATAAAAGCACTTCACTAACAAAATTTGGAGCCGTTTTCGATAAAATCTTATTTATATTATTTCTTTTTAATATTGCACAAAAAAAACTAAAATTTTCAAAAAAAAATTTACAAGATTTCAATATGAACAAAAATGTTGCCTGAGAGAAAAATGTATCTTTTTAATTTTGTAGTTGTTAGAAGATACCGAAAAAAATTCAAACTTTCGAAATTTTCAAAAATTCAGAGTTAACAGAAAAAAACGGACCTACATCATCTTTCACAGTGTAGTTTACTCTATTCCTCAAAAAATTAAAGAAAAATTTGGAGCCGTTATTGAGAAAATTTTGAAAATGTCCTTTACGCTTCATTGAAAGTACAACAAAATTTTAAACAAAGTTTTTCAAAATCGCAGCGCCTTAAGTCGGGCCAGATCGACTGAGAAATATCCGTTTTGGAAATAATTCTACGTATGGATTAGGGGGGTAGTATTGTTAACGGACGGACGGACGGGCCGTCAAGCGGACGGACGTTTTGAAAAAAAAAACACTTTTTCGATATCAACTGACCCCAAAACGTATATATTTCAGTTGATCACGAAATCAATTTTCCTCAGCATAACAATACTTTTTTCGGTACTACGTTTATTACTATGTATATACATACGTATGTATTCGAGAAAGTAACTAATGGTGTTACAGAATGGCACAGACTTTGTCGTATTCATTTTCTCATTCTTTCAAAGATAGATCTTTCAAACATATTACATTTGTATAATTTTTGAAAAACGAAATAACAAATGAATACAGCAAGATTAATTCATAGTCATTTTCAACAATGCTATTAGCACTATCTGCTGGAAAAGTTTGAAGAAAAAAATTTGGAGCCATTTTTGAGAAAATGGTGTTTGAGCGGTTTTGAAAATGCGAAATATTGAGCTCATTTTGACGGAAAAAGTTGAGTTTCCAGCAAACTATATCTCACATTATTTAAAGCACATGTACTCATAAATACACCTACTTGATGTATTTACATATGTCTCTAAATTTTTCGCCCAAAAATTCATTTTTTTAAAATACAAAATGTATTTAAAATATATATTTCAAATACAAGTATTTAAATCCTGCCCGTTACAAATAATACATTTGGTGCAAATACTATTTTCAAGCAAACATCAAAACAAATTTGACAATTATAGCTGCTTTTCAAACAGGTAAATCATGCCTCAACAATAAGACGTAATTCACAAAAATGAGCAGCAGAGTGGTTGTAGCATTCCAATCTGATATTCCCTCAAAGCCAGCAGTATTTGAAATATGTTTTAAATAATTCTTAAAATATAAATATGCAAATGTATAATAAAAGTTGATTGTACGAAACGACCAAAGAAATATGAAATAATATACAAATTCTAACTTACGAAGTACGTCCACGAGGCGCAGTAAATTCGGAGTGGGCGATTACTTTTGTCTTCAAATTACCCAAAAATACTCAATTTTCAAAAAATTGAACATGTCTTTTTTTGATGATCTATTTTTAATAAACACATTTCATGAAGAAAAAATGTACCCGCATAAATTGGAAGCACAGTCAATTGGGAGCGGGCTATTATGCTTCTCGTAAAATTACACAAAAAACACTCATATTACTAATATATATATATATATAGAAGGTTGAGGGGCCGGCTTTAGTCTCGTTTAAATAATTTTTAAAATAAAAATATGATTTATGCTGTTATATATTTAGAAAACCTAAATTTGTTTTAGAAAATATCAAGAAAATTTTGAAAATTTGCCGCCGTAGGCACGTGCCTTCTGTGCCTATGCGTAAATCCACCTCAGCTAAAAGTTTAAAGTCACTCACTTCCCTTGCAGATTAAAGTGAGGGTATTTGCCCATCTTGAAGCAATAAGTTTGTATTTGTGATCAACAAAGGAATCATGAATTCCTAATCTGCTTCATGCAATTCTAAAAAGTGTGTGGTTTCCAGCCTTATGTTATGGTTAAAAAAAAATTGTGACCATATCACTGATCCCCACATCAATATTGGCTGTAGAAGAAGAAAAGATAAGGTTTTAAGAACCTCAACAAAATGTAACTCTTCATATGTTCTAATGAAACCTAGCTTTTGTATCGGTCAATATGAGCCTTAAAGGCCATTTAGGAATCAAACACCCTCCTCAAGTCCTTGATAGTTTAAACTTTTTTGACGTTCACGCCATCTATTGAATGCAATCACTTTTGAATTTTCAAGAATTTAAAACAAATAAATAAAATTTTCAAAGTCTTGCACATTATTTGATTGAGTGTTTCACGAGATTTTTGAATGATTAGTAGGGTAGAAGTAGCAATATTATAATATTATGTAAACAATTCACAAAAGTATGTGGTGTTGAAACGCCAAGGGTTAATCAATCTTTCTTGTAGAATTATGATATTTGCATTTATTATCTGATATTATGTGGACTGTCTTCTCTTTATCACTCACTAACATTTTGTTTTAAAAGGAACAATTTATTAAATTCCTAACATTATTTTTTCTAGATGCTGAAATTTCACAAAAATTTTACCAAGAATTCAAAAAGTACAGAGAAACCAAACACATTACACCTGAATTTCAAGACATTCTCCACGAGTTCTCATTTCAAGGAGCTGACATAAGAGCTGGGACTGTTCAGCGATTGGGAATGTGCAGTGTTTGCAATGCAGTTGTTCGTACAATTTTAACATTCAAACAAGGTGGAACACCAGAAGAGGATATAATAGACATGTTAGAAGATTTGTGTGTCCTTCTCAAAATAGAAAGTGAGAGTGTCTGTGCTGGAGTTATTGAGACCAATGCAGTAAGTCTCCGTCAACCAAATCCAATAAATTTAGTGTATTTCTTTGCTTATTTAACGAATTCCTTCCTTTGCAGGATATTTTCATGTACATTATGGACAATAATCCTAACTTGCCAGCAGAGCGTGTTTGTGGTTTACTTCTCCAAGATGGACAGCAGACTTGCAATCCTAAATATGCCATTGAATGGACTCTGGAGGTTCCTTTGGGAGAGAAACCTCAACCAGCAGTCAAAGAAATACCTGTAAGTATTTACTTAAAACAGAAATTGTGAACAATGAGATATCAATGTTATTTACATCAATATACTGGCAAGGCATCGCAAAACACTTTTCGATAACTTTCTATTTTCAGGAAAACGGAGAGTCATACACGGTTGTTCAAATCTCCGATATTCATTACGATCCTCGCTATACCATTGGTGGAAATGCTAACTGTGGAGAACCCACTTGTTGTCGTCAAGACCAGGGTAGTCCAGCCTCTCCCTCAGATGCAGCTGGCTACTGGGGAGATTATAGGAGTTGTGATATGCCTTGGCATGCTGTAGTAGATGCTTTGGAACAAATAGAAAAAGAACATCAGGTAAATACGGTTTGAATGATAAGGATCCAATACTACAAATTTCAATTAATTACCTCTGCAATCTTTTCAGAATATAGATTTTGTTTACTTTACTGGAGATTTGGTTGACCATGGAGTATGGGAAACAAGTCGTGACTTAAACAATGGCATTTTCAACCAATTTTATGCAGAATATCAAAAAAAATTTCCAAATACTCCTTTATTTCCAACGTTGGGAAACCATGAACCACATCCACTAAACGTGTAAGTACCCAACAAAGTAAAAAAAACAACAAAAAAACCCTACCTTGATCTACGTACTTTCTCTTATTTACAATATTCTAAGAAAAACAAAAGCCATTATTTGTACTCTCCAGCAGTTATACTAGTTTGAAATTTATGCTGTAAGGATACTATACTGGGTCTTTATTGTAACTCGCAACTCGTCTCGTTTTGGGAATTTGGCAATGTGTGAAATATCTTGGGCATCCCTTTCACTTTCGGCAACCCCTGGCCGCGCGCCCTCAGATTTCAGGCTGAGAAAACGTTTCTAATTTTAGTTGGAAGAAAGAGAAAGCAATTGTTCTGTCCCTCTTACTCTTCAACGTACTGCAGCCACTACATTGAAAAGAGTATCCTGTCTCTTGCTAAATGATCACTTTGAGCATTTACTCGAAGGTCAGTTTTTTGACATATTACGGAAATTATATTTTATTCTTTTTTATTAATTATTTTCAATAATTATCTAAAGATTTTCTTATTTGCTTAGAACACAGATATTACAATACAGTATTTGCTTAGTATGCAAAAATATTATTATTGTTATATATAAAGAATAGCTTGCTGGTAACACTTCACGAGGTATCTTTCTGATTTCTCCGTGAGCTGGCTTTCATTAAATAATAATTGTGGTTATGCGGCTGTTAATAAATCAATAAGTCACAACTTCCCTCCACATCTTCAGTATTACAATTTTGTCCCTTAAGCATACTGGACATATTCGCTTAAAGAGACATTTTGTTTCCCTGCCCATACCTCAGCCCACCTCACTCTGTAGCATGAAGAGATTCTGGTGTGTGAGCCACTTTCCTGCCGACCCAAGATCTCGAATGGGAAAAATGCAGAAACAGGAAAGTTGGTGCAACAAATGACCTGACAATCGCCTCCTCCTCTGCTCTCAATGTGCCAGGCACGGGTGTCTCGAAAGGAGGCAAAGAGATGTGGTTGCCAAATTACCAAAACAAGAACAAGTGCTCTCAGACATGGGTTGCTAGTTAAGTTAAAGACCCTGTAGATTCCATGACCTAATAGTAAAATGTATGTGAATATTTTAGGTATGCGCCACAGACTGTCAAAGATGAAAGTCTCTCAACTCAGTGGTTGTACAATGCTTCATTAAATCACTGGCTAAATTGGTTACCAGAAGATGTATCAAAAGATGTTCTAACTGGAGGTTCTTACACTACAATTGCAAAGCCAGGACTTCGTGTTATAAACCTAAACAACAATGTTTGCTACACATTCAATTGGTAACTCTAACATGAGCATCACAACTATGAAGTACCTATAAATTATTGAAATGTTTTATAAATGATCTGTTCATAGGTGGCTTCTTGATGATCACGGAACAGACCTTTTACGAGATCAGCTTAACTGGTTGACTGAGGTATTATTACAGGCTGAGAAAGCAAATGAAAAAGTGCATATATTGGCTCACATACCTCCAGGTGTATCTGATTCACTAAACTCGTGCAGCAGAGAGTTCCGAAGAATTATAGACAGGTAAGGAAATAAGTTTCAGCAAGTTTTGCTTCCACTGTTACTTAATTGCAGATGACAGCAATTAAAAAGTCAACATTGTTAGAGTATTTAAAATCTTCTGGGCAGATTTAATTTTTCTATCATTTGTGAACATTATTATCATCATTATCAATTTGACAACTATTTCAGGTTTGAAAACACAGTTGTAGCTCAATTCAATGGTCACACTCACAATGATGAATTTCACATTTTCTATTCGTTGGAAAATCCTGAAAGAGCAACAAATGTTGCTCTGAATGGTGGAAGTGCTACAACTTACACTTACCTCAATCCCAATTATAAAGTATACAAAATTGATAAAACAACTGGGGTAAGTTACAAAAATTCTAATATTATTTAATGCTTACATTATTTCTGTCTCCTGGTAACTGTGGTCATGTGCAGCTTGTGATCGACTCAGAAACATGGACCTACAACTTAACTGATGCCAATCTTAATGGAAACGCAGTTCCCAAATGGTACAAACTGTATTCTTTCCAAGAAGAATATGGAGTGAAATCCTTAGTTCCATCAGAACTAGATGATTTGGCCCACCGAATGGCTAAAACACCAGCACTTTTGGAAAAATATCATAGGTAACGAAATATTTAGAAAACATCAATATCTAATACATAGGACTTTGTTTCGCAAGATTGAAGATTTGACATTAAAAACCTTTTATCTGCTGAAACTGCTAATTGAATTGGTCAGTAAATATTCAAAACAAACTTTCACAATGTTAATCTGCTTTAATTTTGAACTTGTTCAAATTACATGGTTGATTCAATATTCAATATTACAACATCAATGAGTGATAAAATTAATGTTTTCCATGATTTACAGATTTTATGTAAAGGATTCTGACGCCAGACAAGGCTGTGACAGTGGTTGCCGACAGAGACATTTATGCCAGATTGTGACAGATCACGCCCCTGATACATCACATTGTTCAACCATTTATCAGTAAGCAACAAACAAAATGTTGAACAAGCTACTGCTGTTTTTGTTCATTACTATTTTTATACGTGTTCTTTTTTTTTCTTTTTGTGAAACTTAGCACATCGTAAATTAAACTGCTAAGTAAATAAAGTGCCATATTTCATGAATTCCAATTTATACACCTATACAACACAATTTAAAACCCAAAGATTTCCACAACCAAACATTTTTCTCCTTGTCTTTTTGCAAATTAATAATACAAAAATTTTCACAGGCACACTCCAGGCAAGTGTCCTTACATCCAAAGTATTGTAGATGCAGCCATCAAAGCAATACAAACAGTCAGCTGATATTTGGAAATGAAATCCAAGATATTTTACACCTCAAATGGTATATTTAATCAATTACTTCTAAATTCGGACACAAAACAACTAAAATACATTTTACAGAAACAAGTAAATAAGGTAACATTAAACTATTACCAATACATTATTTTTGCAATATACACTTCTCTCACTTCTGTAGCCTTTTATGGAAGAAAATCTGGCAAAAAAATATGTCAAAATGAAAGGAAAGGAAACAAGTCTTTTCAAGTCAGATAATACATATGTGATGTCTCAGTAGTTACAGTTAGTAAGTCAAGTCTTTCAATGAAGTAGATGTTCCAATTCATAGAAACCGAACACTGATTTTTCATAATCATGACATTTCAATTGGAGAAAGTTACACCAAATCTACTAATGAACACAAAAAAATTAAAAGAATGTAATATACTACATCTTAAACCATTTCACAATGAATCACCTTTCCTTTATGAGGCGACATACAGCAAAATTCAGAATTTTTGACATTTGAGATTTTAACATTTTCTAAATATTTAGTTTCCTGAATAAAATGGTATATACATAATTTTGAAATGCACTCTTTTAACATATTGTTTTGTTATTTTCTTCCTTCACTTGCTTCAAAATGAGTCACTTTGGATACAAGTCTCTCATTTAAGTTATATTGTTTGAACAAATTCATCTAGAAGGGTCTGCTTTCCACTAATGGTGGAGAAAAGTTCATTCCATAATGTTGTTGGTACAGCAAAACTTTATCTTCTATATCTATTTGCACAACAAATCTGCTTTGTTTACTTGTTACCATGACAATATGACAGGTTTCGTAGAAGGATCGATTTCAACACTGATTTCTGTAAAGCTATATTTTTGAACACATTTGTCCCGTTATCTCTGAAACTTCTCAAGTGAATTGTCTCTGTTTTTTAAGAGACCAATTAGTAATGTACATTACCAAAACGAATATACACTTATACAATAAGTAAATGTGTAAGTAATAACCCTTATGACAGTTTCGTATTCATAGACCCCACTTATTCGAGTCGCACATAGGCAATATTTGGCAACATTGCTTTATTGGTTATTAGATACAAATCTAGAAGGCCGCAATCTTGTTTACAAGTTTGGCAGATCTTTTAATATAGCATCTGGGTTCATCGACTATAAACAAAAAATAAATAAAAAAATAAGTCCTGTGCAGATAATGCTATTGTTAGAATTTTTCTGATTTTGGGTTATTAATAAGTATAATTATCGGCATACGATATTAGTACAATCTATGAAGGGTGATTTTATGAACATTTTATTATTTCTTGATAACTTCAGATATTTCTGTAATAATTCTAGAAACTGAGGACTGACTCATTCTATGGAGATCTGCACATATCAAATGAAAAAAATAATAAAATAAAAACACTTTTTTATAAAAATATGTAGCCAAGTATTTCACTAGATTTTTTAAGAGTTAATTATGAGAAAATGTATTCATGTTTACTCCAAATCTAAAATTAAACATCAAAAACCATGACTATTACCTCTTCAGTGTGCAAGAAAACTAATCGCCAATTACTGAAGAACAGATACTTGTCAAGTAAGAGCCATTGACTCAATTATATTCTCCCCAAAAACTTCAACAAAAAATTAAAGTGTAAATTTTTAAAAATATTACACCTTTTTAAAAAATGTTTAGATGGCAACACAATTTGATTAACATCAAATTCTAAAATTTGTTTGGCCAGGTCAAAAAGAAATGTTTAACTATCGCTTAAAAAAAGAAAAAACAGAAATCCAGTAACAATAGAATGATTCGCAAGTATTTGTAACACCAATGAAAAAACATATACTAGTATATGCACAAACACTAATACTTAAACTACGTGCAAATAAAACAGATGGATACTTTCATCTAACATTTAGAATAAAAAGAGTATGCCAAACTCATTTCTTTTCTTAACAGCAAATCTAAAGGCCACACCACATCACAGATTAAAAATTTAAAAAATTTATTTGGGAATCATTTAATGAATAAAGTTGTTAAACAATTTTAAAATAAATTATAATTTTAAACAGATAGCCTCCAATAAATTATTTCTTCACCAAGTATTTTACACCAACCCTCAACACTGACAGTCGCAGTAGCAACTAATCTGCACAGAATGAAAGATGGCAAGATCAAATTCCATATACGTTGTGGACACTTTCACCCAGCACTTCCATGAAATGAAAATAAAATTGAAACAAAAAATTTAAGACACAAAAATTCTAGTGGTACTTGAATTCCAGTGAATCGGTGGTCGCATTAATAAAATTAGTGATAAAAAGTAAATTTTACAGGAGAAGGTTAAAACTATTTACTATTGAAAACATTAACACTGACATGCCCCCAATAAGTTAAATACAAAGCACTTGCACTACTTCTGCCTAAAAAATCATGACAATATCTTTTATCTGTGCTTTACTACAGAATTTTGAATTTGTGGACTCGTGTTGTTATTTCAAAATAAAAATTTCAAGTCAACAATAACTTTAATTTTCAGTGTATTTATTATCAATAGAGTAAATGTTTTCATAATCTGATGAAGTACAATAAAATTTAACTTTATTTCTATGTTTGTCTTCTGTTGTCTCAGTACTTGGCCAATTTTTGATATCCTCATATTAACTTCTTCTGGAATATACTGCATCAGTTTCATTATGTTATGTCATGTAATTTTAGTATATTTACTGGAATCATCTTATTGTAAGCTTTTTCTGTTAATAATTTTGAAGCTACATTTTGACTGTTACAAAGTGAAAAACGATTTTCATGCGGCCATCAATCCATTCCCCACATTGTAAACCACTTCAGTCCTGGACTCTTGAGGTTTATGCAAAGATGCTTAATCTAGCATTCATATTCACCCAATTTTAATACAGGAACTCATGTTCTTTATACTTCAAAATATGTACCTACCACTAGGAATCTGTTTCTGACCATAACTCAAAAATCGCAAAAAGTGGACCGATGTTGTTTATGCAACTACCAATTTAAATGCATAAAATATTAAGTATTTGAACACATTTTCTCTTTCAACTCTTTCAACCCATTAGTGTAATGCGTGCAAACATCATTTGAGAAAAATTGAAATTAATGTTTTTGAAACTGGTTTTATCGCGAGTTGACTTACTGTTAACCCCGAGTGTCTGAAAAAATTTGATTACCAAATCAAAACACAAAAATAATATAATTTCACTTGATGTTTTCAAAACAAACATTTAATAAATACAAAGCAGGTATAATACATTGATTTTCTACACTTTCTTTCTATCAGAACACATTAATACATACTAAAAACAATGTACTTTTAATTATCACCGCAAGCCTACATTATTAATTGGTTCTAAAGGAATCCAAGTAATAGAAGGTGAAAGCAACACTTTTTCTTGAGGCAACTCGTCCAACTTCTTCACCTAAAACATGAATTGACAGAAGGTTGTTAAAGCAAAATTAACTAAAATAAGATAATGTCCTTCAATATAACCTCCAGTAAGTTTATGGGCATCTTATTACAAATAATATCTAAATTTTTAACTAGCTTTCAATCAAATTACAACACTGAAAAACCATGGGCAAGTTGCAGAGCAGAGTTATTCTTGAGAGCCCTCATTGGCAACTTACAGGATTACAAAATATTTTTAAACGCGATTTAAAAATATTTTTAGAAATACGCTTCAAAATAATTGTTTTCCCGACATATTATTTCTGAATTTCTTTAGCAGTATTAACAATTTAAACAGAAAATTTTAAATGCTATCTTCAATTTTAAATTCAAACATATCTAGAAAAATATATACAATTAGTACATCAATAAACGACATAGAACAGAATACCAAATTGTATTTTCAAAAAGTACCAATGAAATGGCCAGTAGATCGCTTCAACATTAAAAAAACTAGCTCAAATCTTTCAGAGTACATTGATAAATAAAACCAGAGGAGTGGATGAATACAACCTTTAATGTATTAACATTTTTTCTGTTTTTAGTAACAGAAAAAATGTATTGGAAGTACATTATTACATACACAGACCATCTGATTTTGTACACGAAAATCTACACCTACAACGAATTACAGCTTGTACGTTAATGAACAGTAATAGCATCACCAGAATCAAATCCACGTAACCAACAATCCAGATTTTTGATGTCAGAATTTTTACCCTCTTTTGTTAAAAAAAAAAAAAAACTCATAAAAACATTATTTAATGTTTTATTTTTAAAATGTAATTTTAAAAAATGTTTAAATTTATATATTAAAATGTACAATTCAATTGTAAGATTAGATAATTGTGAAGAATTTTGTGGAAATGCAGTTTCTGATTACTATGAAGAAAAAGGCTAAAACATGAACATGCAACTGCATGTGCACTTCAGAGGAAGCAGGATAGCAGAAAGAGCCAACAGGACAATCATAGAAGCAGCACATTCAATGTTGATTGATGCAAATATATTACTGAATGAACTATATGAATGAGTTTTTGGCAGAAGCAGCAGCAACGGCACCATATTTACTTAATATATTATCAAATAAGAAGAGCAATCAGGTACCAATGCAAATATGAAGTCACACGAAACCATCGGTAAAACATTTACAGTTTTTACAGAATTTGCATGTAAAGTATACATAACAGAAACCCGACCACATACATCAAAGACCATGTTGAAAGAGCGAAAGCAGGGATATTTATTGGGAATTCAAAAAATATAAAAGCATATAGAGTATACGATGAACATACCAGAAGAATTTATGAAATTCAGGATGTTTGTTTTGATAGAAAAAAAAAAGGTTACAGTATAAATAACAAACATAATTATGGAGTATTCAATTATGTGACAATAGTTGAAGATAAGGTGTGGAGTCAGAAGAAAACAATAAGATGAGGCATCAAAATGAAGTTGACAGTATAAATTCAGAAGAGAACACAAAAGTAATATAAAATCAAGATCAAAGAGTAATAGAAACAGAAAATCAAGAAAATCAGAATAGTTTTAAGGTCAACAAGGATCAACAAACCAATTAAGTGGTTCTCTGCAAATATAAGAAAAGAAAATCCCAGAAATTATCAAGAAGCACTTGAATAGATTGAAGTTGCAGAGTGGAAACAAGCAATGGATAGCGAATTAGATAGTTTGAAAAAATACAAGACATTGGAGGAGGATATGATACTGGAAACATGCAAGATTTTAAACAATAAACGGGTGTTTAAGAAGAAAATAACAGCAGAAGAAATTAAATTTGAAGCTAGATTAGTAGTGGATGGGTCCATGCACGTAATGGGAAGAGATTTCAAGAATAGCTACAGCTCAGTAATGAAAATGGAGACATTCAGAACACTCCTGGCATTAGCAGTGATGGAAAACTATGAGGAAAGATTCATTGATGTGGAGACTGCACACTTCAATGGCACATTCGACGAAGTAGTGTGTGTGAAACCATTTGAAGGAACACATATAAGAAGTGGTACAGTTTTGAAACTTATAAAAATTTGTAAGTTGTTTTCAGAAGCTGGAAGGCGCTAGTATGAAAAATTATGTCAAATATTACTTTAATCCGCAACCTTAAATCCTCAAAAAGCGATCCATGTTTGGTCATAAATGGAGGAAATATAGAATTCTTAGCAATTGGTTTTTTATGTAGATGTCTGTATTATAATAGTCAAGAATGAAAAAATAGTGGAAGAATTGATACAGAAGATAGAAAAATATTTAACGAAAAATAAATTAAAAATTATATAATCTTTTTACGAATAAATATAGAAAGGGATGAAAATGGATTTCTATTAAATCAAACAAACTATATAGAGAAAGTATTAGACAGATTCTGAATGAGTGAATGCTCGACAGTAAAGACACCAGGAATAGTTTGACTGACTTACAAAAATTGACAGATTACAACAACAAAAAATCAAAGAAAATTCCCATGGGTTTCTATTTTATCAAGAACATTATCAGAATTATCCGGTCTGTTTATGTAATTTGTAAATAAACAACATTAATACAGAAATATATCAAGCGATACTAGGAAGCATTGGTTATTTAGTAACTAGAGCACAGCCAGACTTGGTGTATTTATATAGCAAAATTTCTCAGAATTCAGAAGATGCAAAAGAAGTGCATTATACAGCTTTACAAATAATGAGTTATTCAAAAGGAAGATTAAACATAATGGAGAATATAGTTAGAAAAAGGATGTTTCAAAACGAGTTGCAAGTTGAAGCACTACAAGTGATTCTAATATTTTTATTATAAAATTGAGGAAGTCTTTAATGATGTTGAAAAAGGAAAAGATAATGGCACTTCAATGTTTGAAGCAGTACTGATGAGTTAGCAAAGCAATTTGTGAAAGTCGATGGCTGACAGAGTTGATATCAGAAATGGGTTTTTCAGATTAAGTAAAATCTCCAATACAATTACGAACAGACAGAAAGCTGTGATGAACTGGTTGAAGAACTCAAAAATAAAATCAAAGAATAAACTTATTGCAAGAAAGTATAATTTTGTAAAGGATGACATAACAGCAAAATAATATCAAATTGTGTCATGTCAAATCTACAGAACTAGAATTAGATATTAACCGAAGATTTGAATTACAATGTACTGTTTAAGCATATGAAAGAATTAGATTTGGAATGAAAGCTGTGACAATTAGTTTTAAGAGTAAGATTTGTTATGTTTATTTTCGATATGGTATCATGCAACAAATAATTATGCACGAATACCTAGAGATGGTATCTATGTAATGGAATAAGTAAATTTAAAACTAGTTTTTTCTTGCTTGTCATGTTGTTTGTTGCTCTCTTGTCATAAATCTTTGTAAAAGTGCTAACAAAATTTATGTGTCTTATCAACAGGAACAAGATTACCTCAGTGTAAGGTTCAGTGACAGGCATTTTACCAAGTAGACTTACTCAAGGAGTGGAGTACTAGCCAAAGTAGCCCTGAAGCACTGATCAGGTAGAAATATGAATATATTGTACATTTCTTAACTTGTATAACTAGTGGTGCTACAACAGTACTACCTTCTCATATTATTGAAAACAGTTGCGTAGTACTATAATATTGCAACTTCAATCTCACTAGTATTTATTTATCACAATCATCTATTAGTCTTAATGAATTCTATCTAGAGGTGAAATGAAAGCAATTCTATTTATATTCCCTCCATGCATCGCTCCTCCCTCACCCTCCCCAGTTCTACCTGCACGACTCAAGCCAGCTCCACTGATCCAGAATACCTAAATGCATTGCAGACTGCAAAACTTGAATAGACATGTTTGAAGAAATTGCACAAAGGGAAAAGAGAAAACTTATTTTTAACTTTCATCTTCACTCTTGTGTAACTTAATGTGTAATAGAAAATAGAAGGTGTCAAAATGCATTTAGTAGGAAATTTTATGTTTTTTTGATATTATAAGATAATTAACATCCACTTTGGCTGACTTCCACATTTTCAAGATATTCATAAAAAACAAAGGGTACAAACTTAAATTCTATTTTAAGGACAGCGGATGGGGTAGATTTTTTAAAAATCTTTAGGTGAAGGTGAAGTCAGAAACTTTTCTATAGCACAAAGACTAGGCAGTTTTCCTCTCTTGAACTTATTTGTCAAAATTATTCTCAAAATGAATAATGAACGTACCTGCTTGCGAACATATTTAACAAGACATTCAATTTGTTCAGGATCTGAGCATTCTTGACGGAAAAACCTCCTCCAAATTGCTCCAGCTAATTCACGATCTTCTGATAGAAGGCCTTCATCATACCCTATGATGGCAGCTTGAAATTGCTCAGAGAGTATATTCATTTGTTCCCTGAAATTTGCTAAACTATGCACCTGAAACAGAACCGCTTTTAGTAGCAAGTCAAAAAAGATACTGGACGTATATAAACTTAAATAACAAGATTTCAAGAGTTAAGCTGAGTTCTGCAACTAATAAAATTTCTTTTGCCCCATCAAAAAAGCAATAAAAAAACAAAAACAAAGGAGAAATAATATGAATTGAAACAACTGGTAAATCATTTTAAAAGTTTTCTTTTTCTAGATCAAATAAATTAATAATTTATATTGTCACAAGTGCTTCCATCTAAAATTTTAAAAACCTATTAAATCACTTTCCACAATTTGTGAATGTAATCTTCACAAGCAACTTTTTTTGCATCCTTTTCACATTTCATCTCTTTGCTCTTTTTTGGAATTTAGCATGTATACACCTGTAGAAATGCTCTGGTAAGTTTTGTCATTTGTCTCGATACGTTTCAGTCAGTCAATTCCTTTTATCCATTCAGCCAGGGGGGCTTAGGCATAGTTAGTAACCATGGTTCCCAGACAGACACTCATCCATAAAATCGTTGCTTAACTTCCATGAATTCACAAAGCTTAGTTATGCAATTCAGCGAAAGACTGGCTAATTTTATTCCCACTTAGCAGATTTTGTATTCATGACACTATCTTTATCCCTGGCATTTTTAAAAGAGCAAAAAAGTGGCAGTAACTTGCGTTACAGTCATGAATGCAAATTCTGAATAGCAAGAAAATTAACAAGTAGTGTCATTACCAAACAATAATTTAAGATTTGTAATTTGAGTTTTAAAAATTATAAGAAGAAATGAGGCACAGACAGCAATGTAAATTGAAGCGCTTATAATATTGAAGCATTGAAGCACTAATGTTTTATCCTTCTCCATCATGTTGCCAAGTATTATGTTCAAATATGGTGCTTCTGCTATATTAATCAGCATCCAAAAACCATTTAATCATATATTTAATTACAAGTCTGAATTTAGAAACTTTTTTATTTTTGAAAATTGTTTCTCAGAGACAAATTTTTCAATTACTCTATAGACCAACTACATTGGCCAACTGATACATTCCAGAGCTTAAATGGTTCCTTCTAATTAATTTAAGAATACAACATATGTGTGCAATAAATCTAAGGCACACACAACCCTGAGAAAAGTATTGAAGTCTGGAATTTTCAAATGAATTAATAACCAAAGGTATATGTTAATTTTCATTAAAAAAACTAGTTGAATTAACGTTAGCAGAGATCTTGATACAACAGAGATCTGGAAAATTATACTCATTCATATTCCTTGGAGAGTTTGAGGCCTGTATAACAAATGGTGAAGGTCGTACGTCTTACTTGCCTGTCAGACTGCTGTTTATTATGTTGTCAATACCTATATTTTAAAAGGGCAAAAGTTTGAATTATGAATATGCCAAGCATTTCAAATTACATTATGACCAAGAAAAAGTAATGTCAGTGAATGTACTTGTAAAATAAAACCTTTTTTCCAAAAGTCTCTACAATTTATGTTTTTGGAATGGGTACAATTTTTCATATGCTTCTCAAGCAAGTAGCAATAACATCATATGGTGTACATCAAAGTATTAAATATATTATAGGGCATTGGTACTTGTACAAGAACCACTGTATTGAAAATATTTAATTACAGCAAATTTACTCAATAACTAGCGAGTGTTTTTGGCACTTTGTATCTTTGAGAATTCCAGTCAACTGTCTCTGTAGATAACACCTTTGTCAGAACGTATTAACATGCACATTCTTACATTCTTATGTAATTTTCTTAATATTTCGGCAAGCACGTGCATTTCACACCAGCAGTACTGCGAGTGATCATTTCAGTCGAAACATCTAATAAATGTGAGTAAGTAATATAAAAATAACTAAGTAGTTTATCTCTCCCATGACTTCAGAAAATGTCTGAAAATATGTCAATTTCATTATATTTGTTGTTCCAAGTATTGTGTCCTCGACTATTTAACTGCCAAAAACGAAAAAATCTCACACACTTATCGTTGTTTTTGTCCATCCCAAAATAATAACTGCTAATACATACTATAATGAAATATCTTAAAATTTTCAACAATGTAAAAATTTTGATAAATTGTTCAAAACTTGACAAAAATTTGACAAGCTTCAAAAATATTACTGAATACAAGAAATACTATCTTGCTGCATTACACCTTTTTACAACACAACCAAATATGCTTAAATGAGTTTCTTAAAGAAGATTTAGATAATTTATACACTAAATAATGTTACATGTGAAGAAATTGTCAACAATGTAAAACATAATTGCATAAAAGTATTTCTCATGATGTGTTGTACTCTCAAAACACAGCTGGAGGGTTCCTTCTTCTTTTCAAAAAATTTGAGGGTTACTATATTTCTTAATTTTGTCTCCTCCATCATGGCAATCTTCAGGTTCATTGACATCATCGTCAATTCCAAAACAATCTTGTCACTGATGAGATCCCACCTCCTGAACTGTCATCACTCCCCACATGTACTGATAAATCACTCAGCTGAAATCTCCAAATAATTAAAACAATCTCACTTGGTACTTAATTGAAATTCACAGATAATGAACAGCAAAATTCAACTAACTAGGTTGTTAATTTTGATTAAATATCATTGAAACTAAATTGTTTCACTGATACATGAATTAATATTAAATTTTATTTTCTCAAGTTTAGAAAAATAAAATAGCTGATGCACATATTTTAGCTGTAGTACACATTTCACTTCTCTCAACATAAGAAATATATATAAAATGTGCTGCTTGACTGATTTATGTCCCACCAACTACACTCATTCACTGAACCTGTGGTCTCCAATTTCCATTTTCTGTAAATGTTGACAATATCAATTCAAACTAAATGTAACCATTTCCACCAATCTATTGTTGTATTACAAAATACATGGGTAAGTAGTAACCCACAGTACTTTTCAATAGAATAATGTAATTCTACAAGTAATGCTATCATTTTCACATTCTAGACAAAGCAAACTGTAGCAGACACATCAACACATCAGTCAATAACAAAGATAATTATGAAGAAATTCACAATGTAACAAGGTAAAATGTAATGGCATAAAAATATTTCTCTTAAAAGTGTTGTATTTTTCAAATAACAGCTTGAAGGTTACCTACAAGCTGTACAAAATAATTTTTATGGCCATCAACAACAAATGTATTAGTGGGAAGAATGGTTAGATTGGATTATTTGTTGCACATCGATAAATAATAGTGTACTGACAAATTTACTTACATCCAACTTTTTGGCACGAGTGGAGACGTCTTCCCACATTGCTTCAATAATACGATTTCTCAGAAATCTGCCTTCCTTGCCTTCAGCCATAGCCCGAACTAATAACATCCATACATGAAGTTCTGTTATAAGGAACCACGAGAAAAAGGAATCTTCCAAATCAAATACTAAAATCAAAATTAATGACACATACCAAATATTCCAAGTTAACCACACACAATGTGCAATAATAAATAACACAAATACCTTTAAAAAATAAAGCATAATCCACACTATCAGCTACTGATTCATATAAAAAATACCCGCTTCGAGCAAGAGTCTGGGAATATAAGAAATTGAACAAGTAATTAAACTTTCTTACAAATTTCATTTCATTAAAAAACATAATTTATTTAACATACCGAACGTGGAAAATGTAACCATCCAAATTTTCTTAATATTGCTTTGAAAACGCTTTGGTTGGAAGAACTCTGTTCAGCAACTGTGGTTTGTAGCCTACGTACTGAATAAAGTGGATGACATAGAGAGAAATTAAAAGGGATAAGATAATTCTTTAAACAAGGCTGCATTAATTTGTTAGAATTACACATCGATAGGACCTGCAATAAGAGAGGTCTGAAGTAAAATATATTTCACTTGTTTATTACTAGTCATTTAGTTATCATTATATAAGAATCACTGCATAACACATTTAGAAAAATATTCAATAAATCTCTTCCAAAAGAGTTGTTTTTGTATCCTGTGTTAATGCAATACTCTCCACAGCAATTGCAAGTGATTATTGTTCTGGGCGCCAATCTCATATCCATTACTTACCTTACAGAAACTGCGAAAATAGCAATAATTCGTCCTCATTTTTACGTAGAGACTAAAATAAAAACAACAAAATTACCATTCACAAACTATTTAAAAATCGTGTTCGAGCTTAACACATATCTTAACGATGGAAGAATGTCTTGAATGCCATATCCCATGGTAAAATAATTTTTTTGTGGATTACCTGCCGCAGATCGGTCCCGAATCGGGTGTCGAAAACCACACACAGACTATAACAATTCCTGCGTAAACTATTTAATTAATCTAAACTTCCATTAAAAATACATATAACCTCCACAATTGCATGTATTTCAATAGCAGTGGTGCCCAGCTGTGCGGTATTTTGAAACAAATTGATTTCGTGTTTCAGATTGATATATTTTTATTATATTACATTACATTATACATTATTATATATTATTATATATTGTATAATATAATATGTATTTTCACCATGCTCACACGCTCCAACAGCTCGATTGATCGAACAACCTATCGGATATTACTACATATTTGACATTTTCGGGTGAGAAAATAAGCCTTTTAAGATAAGAAATAATACTCGATTATGATAATAATAATAATATAATCTTAATGATCATTAAAGAAAACTTTTCAACACGATTCTACACGGAATATGATATTACCATACCATTTTGTTCGGTTAATCGAACGATCAATTGAAATCGAACATTTCCCGTAGAATTTAAAAAATAAATTCATTCATTGCAATTTTATTACAATGCCGAGATTTGTGTGACAGCCTATGATGGTGCGGTGATGCACATAAAAAGACAAAAAGAAAATGATTTATTTTAAAAATTCTTAAAATGTTTTCTGGCAATAACTTGTTGCTGTTATTTCAGCAATCAAATTACACAATGAAACCATTCTATTTTAAATGTCACATGTTTACATTTTACAATCTTTTAGGATTAGTTTTTAATTTTGAATAAGCAATTATTATAATTTAAAAACCTAACATTTAAGTCAATTACAATAAGGTGGCAACCCTACAAATCACTTATGATTCCACGAGTCGATTGACGGCAAAACGTCTATCTTTCCGTTCGTCTGTCTGCGAACTACGCTAGCAGCTAAACGGTTCAGCCTCCAAAATTGATATTCCTCGATCGATCTGGCTGATGTAGCCCCTTGAATTTGAAACTGATATTTTAATTTTGGAGGGTACTTTTTATGAAGCCCCTGGGACCTTCCCAAAATTTTCAAAAAATATCCGCATACGATTTTGATTAAATTTTGTAGTTGGGTAGTCTGAAAGACGTTTAAGAGAATAGCGCAAGTCCCAAGTTGGTTGAAAACTCAGATTTTTCGAAAATTGAAAATTTTTTTGGCGCCTTCCTACAACTAAAATATTAAAGGCAGAGATTTTTCCCTTAATACAATCTATTCCTTAAAAATGGATTATGAAATAAGATGTACAATTTTTCGAAAAGTTGAGTATTTTTCGGGTAATTTTGCGCCAAAAATATGACATTTGTAATTTTTTTTAAATGTTTTTTTCTCAAAAACAGCTCCATCGTTTTTGATGGAATTTTTTTGGTGGATTGTCTGAAGGACGTTTAAGGGATTGGTAAAGGTTTCACATTTATTAAAAGCTCAGACTTTTTTCGAAAATTGAAAAATATCAATACTTTTTCGGCGTCTCCCTACAACTACAATTTTGAATATATATATTTTTCTTAATGAACTGTGTTCATCAGATCTATAAATAAGATTACGTTCAACTTTTTTTTTTAAGTATATTTTGTGAAATGAAATTGAGTCAAACAACCGATTTTTATTTTCTTTAAACATTTTGTCTCAAAAACCACATTATTTGCCAGTACATTATTTGATTAAATTGGGACATTAGACAGTATAAAGGATGTGCAAAATAATGGTGCATTTCTCATGTTTGTTAAAATGCCTGATTTTGGAAAAATTCAAAAAATAATTGAAACAAATCATCATCTTCCTACAACTACAATTAGGAAGATACACTTTTTTCTTAATGAAATGTGTTTATAAAAAACATCTGCGAATAAGGTCATGCTGACTTCTTTTAAAATTGAGTATTCTTTGTGAAATGTGACAACCAAGTGGCCTGCTTCAAAATTAACTGTGCTTCATGAACATTAGTTGAGAAGTGTTTGAAAGCTATTGCTATTCTTATAAAAGAAAATAGACCGATGGAAGGTAATCAATTTAAATCAGAACTAACAAATTCCTTCTTTACATCAAGAAATTTTAATCGCTAATTATGGTATGTTGCATTTCTGAAAGTTAGAAATGACTGTTCCTGGCTATGGAAATAAATGCAGGTGTCCATCACAAGCACTTCCTTTGAATTGTTTATGTTTGGATTATATTAGCATGATTTCCAATACTTTACATGAAAAAAAAAAATAGGAAAAAATTGTGTACCGTTAATTTTTACATTTTAATTTAAATTACTACATACACTGCCTTGGAAAACAATGCATCGATGTATATTTTAAAAGTTCATTGTTGAGTGACAACAATTAATATAATGAAATGTAAAATTCTGTTGAATTCTTCTCTTTGTTGAACATGGTGGGAGTAGAGGTGAGGGCGAGTTACTTTTTTGTTAGCAATGCAGAAAAATCATACTGCAATTCGTTTACCTAAGTAAATAAGTTTTCTGTAACTCAGGAATGATAATGTCTAGTTCTTTTCAAATATTGCTAATCTCGCACTCTTTTAAAAATTATTTTTATTTATTTATTTTAAACTTTTACTCTTCTTTAAACTATTTATAGTTAAACTGATGGGAAGGAATTCTCGAACTCAAGAAAACGTGCACAGATGATCTTCTTCCCCATACGTCACACTGTTTACTGTTTTTCTCTGTGTAGAGGAATATTTTCTGCATTTCTCCATGTATAAGGGGTATTGGTAGTATCGATAAGCACTGGCATAAATTTAATAGAATGTCCAAGAATATCTCGTCCCGTAGATTACGGTGTGAGGAAAGTTTTTTCAGGCCTTTAGCCTTAAAAGTTTAGTTTTTAAGGCTCTAGAAAGCTTCTTTTAAGAGTTTTTTACCGATATATTTGATCGAGTGCTGCGAGTGGTATTTGATGTGAATACTTAGATGGTGTTTTTTAAACAAATCCTTCATATTTTTTAAAGTCAAGGTGGAATTCGCCCAGTCTCCATGAAGTTATCTTTCTTTAGAGAACCCATTTATAAAGATTTGTTACGTGTAAGAGCCGCAAAAGGTAAGTATAGGTACTACTCAAATAATATAGCAGATTATTCTGGTCTTTCATCCTCCTGGAGTTTGTAACCAAAGTCAGTTTGCGACAACTGTCTAAATAGTGAAGTCAAACTAATGCAAAACAGCAAAGAGGATAGCAAATCTCCTTGAAAATTTCCCCTATTAATCAGAATACTTCTTGTTTTTCCTACTTCCTTTCCACTGAAAATTAGTAACCCGGTACTCCATGATTTCATACCAGCTTTGCAAAACTCAATGTCTAGCATGAAATAGAGAGATATCCTAGGATCTTCAAAATTCAAACGTATGGTTAACTGTCAAAGGTAGTCAATCTCTCATGTATATAATAAATAATAAACATGAGAGTCAACAAGTGAAACTCTCAAAGAAACCTATCTCTTGAATCACAAAAATCCCAGAGCACATGCTATTGTACAACACAAAAACAATGAGAAAAATCTTATCCAAAGAAACAGACTTTTTTTCCACAACAATATTATCATTAAAAATGACTTTAACAGTTTGTGGTCAGGTATTCATTAACATTGGAAGAAAGTTGCTCCTATCATTATTTATATTTATTTAAATACAATCTACAAGTTTTAGATCAAAATACACACAATAATTATTACTTTTCTACAACTTGTTTATAATTTATTGTAAAGCTATTATTAATTAAAAATTATAGCTCTAAAACCCTCTTTATACACCTAGGAAAGATTATGGTTTTGTACAATCTGTAATCATCAACACAATTAAAATGCCATCGACACAAAAACATGTAAACATGTGTAGGGAATTATCTCCCATGGATGGAGAAAACAAAGTTAAGATGATAAATTTTGAATTTTGTAGCTAAAGCCATAAAAAATTAGCAGGAGCCCATGCAATTCTCAACACAGTATTGGTGCATCCTGGCAATGGCCTTAAAGCTTAAAGTAGGCACTGCCTATCTTGCCTATCTCAAGGAGCCACAACAGCTGGTATATTGCCAACGATGTTCATCAGTTGCACAAGGCATAGCATCAATCCCAAGTTATGTTCTTTAGTCCATAATTTACTAAATGATACTTTTATGGATCGACATTTACATTTCAGAAGTTTTACTTCTTCTGGGTATCCCTTTGTCTTTAGCAAGGGTTGTAAGTGCTTCTGTGTAAATGTGATGTATGTAATGTACAACATTTCAAAATCTTTATAAAATTAAATTAAATTGAATTGAATTTTTTATAATATGTGCAATTTAATCACGAGGGTCTTGGTTAGTAAATGCTGAACATTACTATAATGCTAAATATTATAACAATGCATATCATGTTTACCAGTGTACAGTAACAGGCCTGTATACAATGTAACATGTAGATCACAACATTGGCATTTAAAACTATTGTGAATATTATGTTGTTTTCATTTTCACATCAATAATTGACCAAGTGCAGAATGCTTATGCAGTACTGAGTCATTATTACCATTCTGCTACAACTTGTTAAAAAATTATATTAGTTTTTTTATCATTGATTTAAATTGTAATGATCTGTTACAATTTATTTCAATTCCTGGGGTTTAAATTTTTTGTTCAAATGAAACTATTTATGATTAAGAAACACACAATAAACCAATTCTCATAAAATATTTACAAGTATCTTGGATAAGAATGTTACATCCAAGCACTTAAGGATTATGACACAATGATTACGGTTGAAATAATGTTTCTCACTAAAATATTATCTCCCACTTAACATTTAAATAGTTGCATGTGGTGTGTAAGTATTCTCTGGCTGTTTCTAGCAATTGTCAAATAAAATAAATTGATTATACTCTTTTGCAACACTCATTACTGATCAACAAGGTACTGATCTTGCCTCTCAGGCGCAAATCGTCTCGGGTGCTTGAAATAACTTTATTTCCTCCACAGGGGACTCCTGGAATCCACATGCAGCTATAATATTAAATCATCTTGATTTGATTTGTAAGTGAAACAAAGCAACATCTAACAAAGTAACAAACTATAACTTAGCAGAAATAGACAATAAAAGTTTATGCCATATTTTTTAAAATGATAAGTATTAACTGAAAAATATTACACAGACAACCACAAGTCGGGTAATAAATTATTGGCCTTATGATAATTTAGCATTCAAAACACTTAAAATGCAAGGATTTATTTTGTATATTACAATGTAACAAAATTGTTAGTAATTTTAGTCAAGAGTCAATGGGAATGCCACGCGAGTGCTAAGACCACAAAATAGTACAAAACTTCTAAAGGGTTAGAATAATTCTCAAAACGCTGTAAAATTTGGGCACAAGTTGTTGCTATACCTAGACAATTACAAATAAAATGAGGTTCACACAGTTTGTGAAGAATTAACACACAAAAAAAAAGTTTAAGTTATTATTTTAATAATCAATGAGAAGATATATATATTTTAAAAAAATTTGATGAAAGATTAAACAAAACAACCTGAGAATTTTCTCAACTTTTATTGTTCTCCATTCCAATTAACTTATTAATTGATTACTTTATTCTACTAGACTCATTTCCAGCTCAACAATCATTTACACTCACAAGGAGAGTGAAATAGGATCCCTTTCATTGCACTTCATTTTCTCATAACTATTAACAAATCTTTAAAAATTATTTTATAAAAAATTGGAGAAATATTTTGCCTTTCTATGAAAAGCTACAGCTCAAAATTCATTGATGTGCAGATAATTTAATATTATTTGTATACCTTTTAGGATTTTAGCATAAACAGCACAAATATTTTACAGTCAATAAATTTGAATAAGATTTAACTAATGAATTGGGCCAATATACACTAAAAGATAAATTCTTTCATAAAAGAAAGTTCCAATTCATTAATGAAAATAAGAGTTTATAGAAAACTTATTAAAAAATTGAAAACAGAATAGATCCTTTACATATAAGAAGAAACAAATTAAAATACTTTTACTTGAACAATTTGTTTCTGAAATGGTTTTGTTAAATGGACTTCAATCTTTCAAACTTGAACACCTATATAAATAAAAATGCACACTATTTGTAAAATCACAGGTCCCCAAAGGGCTACTTTCTTTCCCTTAAATGATACACATCTTGCAAGCTATAATGCATTATTAAAATAAAATTATTGTTTAGTACAATATAAGAAAATTTAAACAAACAAAAAGAGACAATTGAGAAAAGTTCCACATTTCTGCCATTCTACAATCATGACAGCTTTTTCTTTCATTCAAAAGTGAAAGATATTAGATGCTAACGAAAAAATAACAAAATGTCGCACGGCATTAAGGCTATCATACTTCATAATGAGTTTCGGTAAAGTAATTATACTAAGTGTATGACATTTACATTATTAATGAATGAACAGTTTCAAGGAAATGCTGTATTACAGAAATAAGCCGAACCATTTATTATTGATAGTCTGAAATTGTATTAAAACTTGTTACTTCCAAAAATATATTTTAAAAAAACATAATACATCTAAGACTCTTAAGTAAATCGACCAGACATTAGTTTTCATTTTGTGAATCATTTTCATACTAGTTCGCCAGTATATCACACGAAGCTCTAATTTTTCGGTAATAATTGTAAGTTTCCGAACAGTGTTATCACCATCCACCTACCCATCTTCTAATAAAATTACGAACATAAAATTTTAACAACACCGTGCCTAAAACCCAACCTAAATGCGATCGGTCCAAACCATTTTTGTATACAAGATCACGTCCGACCACACTGCGCTCTTCTGGCGGCAATACGTAATAGTATCAGATTGGGTTCTGAGCAAAAATGGTGGAGGCTATGCTATAAAATGAAGAGGGTTGTATTGGGGTATTTTGAGATCTATTCAATAATTATTTGAAGGAGCATCTATTTATCCCGTTACTAAGGTGAGATTTTTCTTGTAAAAAATTATTCCATGGTGTATTATTCTCAATTTACATGATTAGTATCCAAAAAACTGAGGAGAGCTCTGAGCAACTGAGAGGTGACCTTCTGTAAAGAGGACACACAGTTTTGCGCATTTTTAATTTTTTTTAGCGATTAAATTAAATTTATCATAAAAATAATTTGTTATTTTTATGGTACAAGGTATTTTTGATGTAATTTTATGTACTTTACATGCACTTATGATATGTTGATGCCATGAATTTGATGAATAAACATTCTCATCCAGATGGCTGAGGCTTATTCATTGTTTGAGGTGGATTGTTCCTGGTTACTGATTATAGGTTATTTAGTAATTGATTTATTTACATTTTATTTAAAGAGATTGTAATTACTTTTGACTGTAAACAGATAGTGAATATTCCTTATCACTAGTATAATTGACATAACTTCAAATCATGCTGATTACCTAGTAACAATACAAGAACTCTGGAGGCTCCAGTTTCATATAAATAATATTTTTATACTTGTATTATAAGAAAAAAATCATTATAAATGCATTTGAACATTATATTTTTCAAAACTTAAGAATATTTATATATGTATATTTTATGCTTAACCCATAACCAAAACAAAAATGTAATCTTAAAATCTATAAACCTTCCTATTGCATTCTGTTTCTTTTACAGAACATTGTATTCTTAATTTATGATATACGAAGATGGGTTTGAAGTCTGGTTCTAAATCTGGTAAAGGAGTTAAACATGGTGCATCAAAATTGGGACAGAGTAAAAAGACTCCCCCAAATGCCAGCAAACCAGCAGATTCAGATGATGAACCAGATATCGATACTTCAGTAATGCGTCCTTCTATAGAAATTAGTGTTTCTACTGTTCCACAACTGGTTCGAGCATATCAAGCAGCAACTGAAGAGGTTTGTAATATTCTAAATGTAGTTTAACCTTGTTGAAATATGGCTTGTTTCATTTGGTATTGTCTTAATAAAAATTAAAAAGTAAATTATCTTTTTTGTTTGTTTCTTTAAGCTGAAGTCTATTTTAGCTAGGGAATGTGACATCATTTATGAATGCCGTGTGTGCAGAAATTTATTTCGTAGTCTTGCAAATATGATGGCTCATAAACGGATATATTGCAAAACTACTTATTCTTATACAAAACATACATTAAACAGAAATCATATGGTGAGTTGCAGAAAGTCTTTAGTTAGTTTACAGTTTCATTTATGATATAATCCCTGAGAGCATAAGATATCAAAAGAAGTTAAAATACACAATTAAAGAGCTTCAAGTTAATTGTTTTGTTTTACCTGTAGGTGGAAGACTACACAGTGTTAATTCAACCTGAGCCAGTTCCGTCCAACTCTCAAGATAAACAAAATTGGACAACAAGTGATAAAGTTCCTGACTGTTCTAAAGAAGATGAAAATGCAATACCTCAGATTGTCACCACCACTTCTCGTATTTCATCATTTACAAATTCTAAGAAAGGTTTACGTGAAATTGTTGATAGGTTGGCTCAAAATTCATGTAAAAGTAATAATAATGAGACAAAAACTTCTTCTGCTACAAAACTTTATGACAATGTACATGCTAATGTGTTGGCACGTAAAAATGATCGTATTGAACACAGTTTCCATCTTGAAGAAATCGAAACTACAAAGGTTGGAGTGTTTCAAACAAAATTGGCATCAGCAGTTGGTGCAGAAAAGGATGATTTAATGAAAGCACAGGTTAAAAGCTTTGAAAAAACAATGTTCATAATTTCATTAATGAATAAAATCTTATTGGTTGTTTTGTGAAAAATTTCAGGTTTCCGAACTTCAGCATATGGCATCCCAAAACGAAGCGACATTGGGTCCAGATGGTCGAATGTTAATGGTTAACAGACATTCTCCGATATCTGTTCAGAAAGGTGTACCTGGAAAGGCATCAGAGTCTGGTGTTGAAGCAAATGAACATAAAGTCACCAAAGAAGAACATGTTTGCCCCGATTGTAAGGATTAAGACCTTTTAATGTATTTACATTTTCCCTTGTATTATGACTTTCTATGAAATTCTACATCTTAATAATTTTTATCATTATCATTATACAATCATTCTAATGAAATACTGTAGCACTCATTTCGTAGTAGAATACATTTGTAATATTATTCCATGACGAGAAGTTTTTCTTTGTCACTGAACTTCTCGTCAATTCACATAAGAGTTCTAGTATATCAAATTCTAATTATTGTTTCAAATTGCAGGTAATGTGAAATTTTCTACACGGAAAACCTTAAATCATCATATGAAATCTTTGCACGTGACATTTAGACTTTGCTATCCATGTCCCTGTTGCAAAAGTACTTTTGTGAATCCATGGAGTGTATATCGACATCTATATAAAGGTAAATCTTTCATTGAATAAAAATTTTGCTATAAAGAGCCTAAAATCGTAAAATTAAATATTTTCTAGAACATATGAAGTTCAGTGGAGATTTTCTAGAAGTCCAGGCTAGTAATCTTTAGTTCAATGTCTTGGTATTGTAGAGTAGAGAAATTATATTTAAAATACCAATTGTTATAATATTTTGAAGCATTACATTTTCAATAAAGAGATTGAGATTATTAGAAGAGTAGACACTATTTTTAAAATAACTTCACACAAAGATAATTGTTGATTTACTTTTTTTGGTTAACTCTTTCTTAATACTTTTTACAAATCAAGATCAAAATGTTTTTTCTAAGTATTGAAGAAAATATTGGAAGTATATTTAAAATTCAATGTGTGCACAGTACAGAAACTATATAATTTTTGAATTTTGATAGATTAATATTATATTTTTTGTTGTGAAAATTGGAAGAGAGTAAGTGTGGTAAGATAATAAATGCAAGTTAGTTGTGGGTAAGATTAGTGCAATTTCAAAAAAAAAAAGAATGTGTGCTTATTGACTGTTTCAAAAACTGAACAAGAAAGGCACTAGAATCATCTGTTAGCCTTTCATAACATATCTATCAAAATTTTTATTAATTAGTGATTAGTGTGATGAACATTACTATAATTTTTTCTGCAAAATATGAAATAAAATTAATTTTGACATGAAAAACTGGTCCGAAAAATTCCATAACATCAACCAATGGTGTAGACAATCTGAGAGAAATACCTCTCCTTGTATACTCATTTTTTTGCATTGGTTATGCTAATCAAAATTACGATTTGCTGGCAATTTGTCTTCGGAAACATTTTTATATCTACCTAAGCTCTCCTTGCTGTTTAGAAACTGTTACTTTGCTGTAGTTTTATGAATGGAAATGTACAAGAATGAAATTTCTCTTTCTTCTTCTTCCTTTTTTTATATCCCCTATCACCTGCTTTTAGTTTGTTTGTGTTATTCTAGAATCTTTTTATAACAATTTAAAATGATTTATTATTTAAGTTGAGTTAAAACCTGTGTACAGAGTAAAATCTCTAATTTTTTTTATATTGATCTAGACTAAAGATCTTCATGATTATCAAAAGTATTAATGATATTTGAGTTAAATTGAACTTCACATTGATTAAAGTATGACAAAGTTTAAAGTATTTCAGATTAGGAGATCATTTGGAAGGCTGCCAGAGGGCAAGAAACATAAGATAAAATTAATCTTTGACCTTTATTGGAACATGATTGGATTATTTTCGCAGGGAAACAAGATGAATGCCATTGGTACATTTAAAAATTATTTTATAGAACATTACAAAAAGTACTTCTGTATTATTAATTATTATTTTATTATTATTATTATTATTATTATTATTATTTTAATTATATATTTATTGCTTCTTACAAACCGATTGATTCAATAATAAATGAAAAATTGAACTTTTGAAGAGAGCCTTTAGAGAAAAGAGAAACTTCGTACAGTGGCTGATCTAGGATTTTTGAAGGTTACAGGTGTTCAGTCAAGTTTTATCTATTCTTGTGAAGAATTTTTCATTTATGCCACATTATACATAAATTTTTATTTGTCGATTTATAATCATTTTCAGTGTATTTATTTGAGATATTGAATGATTTTTATTTCTAAAGAAACTTGATAAAAATTATTTGAGAGTGTATGTCATTAGCACTAGGAGGGTTGAAACTCCTGCTTGCTGCACCGCTAGTAATATGAAGTGTGACATTAATGAGGAACCGAAATTCATCTGTCAGAAGTAATGTGATAGGGAATATTCTTTGCAGTTTCAAAGTTTGTATGTACACATTTATTGAGATTCCAAGAAGTTGGAGGAAGACATGAAAAATATGAAATGTCAAGTTTATCAATAATATCAGGTTTACAAATGATGTGATGCAAAAAAGCTTACTATATCTTGTTATGACAATTTTCTTTGATTGCAAATAGATAAATGGCTTGCTCTTTTCTTCAGGCTACTGAAGAAAAACAAGATTAATATTTATTGTATATTAACTATACAGAATATGATAAGAAGGTTACCTACTTAGTAGAAAGTCAACACAAATTTGATACTATTTTCGTCTGCCATACTCCATGATGACCAGCAGTCAGAGAATTTTATTTTGCCTGGAAATATCATGGAATTATGGGAAAATGTGAATTTCATTACACTAGAGAAAGCTGGGAAATCGGAACAGACATGTAGCCTGTTCAATGTCCTTGTTATTTAAATTGCATCTAGTAAATTCATGATGTGAAAGTTATCTTTCTTAAAAATGTTAACTTTTTGCTGGGAATAGGAAGTGCATCGATGTATTTAGATAGATATTTTAAAGATATAAAATTACACAAGCAGAAAATTGTCCCATAGGTCTGAGTTTGGCTGATGATGGAAAACAAGTTGCCTTCTTGTCTATTTTGGAATCAAACTTGGAGACCCTACGAAATGTGTGGAGTATGTATTAAAGAACTTTGACAGTGGGTCAACAGCAAAAGACAGTTGCTATCTTTTGGAATACCTATAGTTTTGAGAGAACAGTCGAACCATAGTAATGTCTGTTACTCATGTGATGCGAAGGGGTTCAATTCTAAAAATAAAAAGCAAATTGTGTATCCAGTTGTTTGGTCAAGAAAATCTTCAACAGATCTAAAGCAAAATTAAAAGAAGGTATATTTAATGGTCCTGATATAAGTAAATTGAGGTCAGATGCAGAATTTAAAAACAAGATGAAAAGGAGAAAGCAGCATAGATATCTTTCTGTAATGTTTCAAAATTTCTTGGGAATAACAAATGAATCAATTATCGATGCATTGTGGCTAACACACTTGAAGAATATAGGGAACTTGCATGTAACACGAGTATGAAAGTTTATTTCCTGTTTTCTCACCTAGTTTATTTCTCTGAAAATCTAGGATTTTTGAGGGAAGAACAAGGCAAACGATTCCATAAGATATGATGGATTTCAAAAGGAGATACGAGGGATGGTGGAGTATCAGTATTTTTGCCAGACTATTGTAGGTATTGTAGGATGTTAAAGGTTGACCTGAAGACAAACATGAAAGAACAAAGAACATAAGGACTTGCTCAAGTAAGAAGCAATGGATGTTAAAAGTGTTGTGAAACTATCCAATATTGAAGTAAACAAGACAAAATTAAGCAAAAACACTCTAGTGAATTGTATTAACAACCATATATATTAATTTCAACAAGCTGGGTATATTAAATATTGTTTTTCCTTTAAAATAAAAAAGGATAATGAAAAAGGTTGTGATGAAATTCACTTAATTATACTATACATATAAAGAAATTTTGCGTGTAGAAGTAAACAGATTGAAAACTCGGATCTCGGATTCAGCACATCAACATCAAAATCACATTTTTTACTTTAGGCAACAAACAAAAAGTTTAAATTCGCAGGCTAGTGTTATTTGTGGTCTGATGGAGTGAAAATAATTGATCACTAATGGAACTATTCTACAGTTACTTGAATGTTCTCCGCTTTTATTACTTGTTATTTCCCCACAATGATCTGACGTAAAGGGAAAACATAGCAGTATATTTCAAATAGAAGATTATTTTTCTTTTCATACTGAGGCCATCATTCTGTACACTGCTAGTAAATAGTTTTTTTACATGAGTGGTTTACCAGTCCTTTCCCCACAACCTCTATCCCGAGGAAGGGGATGTTATTTTGGAGTTCTCTTCTCCACGGCTTGAGATCTCTCTCTCTCTGCCTAAGAGTTCCTCTTCTAACTCTTCTTTCCTTGAAGCCGCTGTTGAGACCCTCTGCTGTAATACTTCTTAGTTAGATCCCTACTTTTCAACCTGTTCAACAAGAGAGGCTCTACCAATGGCTTCGGTACCACCAGTTTAGCTCTCGGAGTCATGGGGATATTCAAGCTCCGCCATCAATGACAAGGTCAGGTACCCCCTAGGCGGAGCTACTGATAGCATAATGCAGTGTATAGATTAAATCACCAGCAATAGAACAGGGGCACATCCAGAGACAAAGTTTTGGGAGAGGAAATAAAAATCTTTTGATCTAACGTGTCATTACAGATTTTGTACAAGTAAAATGTAGCAGGCTACACTCAGCTCATGTGGCAATACAATTTTATTCGTTTTAATGATTATCCAAAAATAATTTTGCTCAAGTGTTGTGACAAGTTAAAATCTGGGGGGGGGATTTCCCTTCCCGTTGATCCTCATCTGAAAAGAATATGGTTTTAAAATATCCACTGAAGAAACTAAAGCATATTACTTATAAAGGAATTTATCCAGTGAGCACAAAGATTGTGATAAATGGAAAAATGATTGAATAGGTAAAGTATTTTCAATATCTAGGTTGCTACATCTCCTTTGAAAAAGATATATATTAGTATTAAAGATTAAATGAATTTAAAAATATCTGTGGCAACAAAGAAAGAAACAATAATAAAATTCTTCAATACAGTAGCTGTGTCAATGCTGATGTATGAAAATGAAGTAAGAGCATCATCAAAAAAGATAACTTTAAAATTCAGACAGCAGAAATTAAATTTTTGAGAAATACTGTAGGTTGTAACGTCTTAGATAAAAAGAAAAATATAGATAAGAAATACACTGCGGGTTGAACCATTACTGGTGAAATCGGAAAAGATGGCATGAACATTTAAAAAGAATGCTCAATAGCTGACTACCAGCACTCGCAGTGGACTAGAGATGCAGAGGAAGAAGAGATGTAGGAATGCCCAGAAATAATGAAGTGGGCATCGGAACAGGTTCTAGAACCTAACACTTGAAGTACAGAAGAAGAAGATCCTCAGTTTCTTCACAGTCGCTCCATATACATCTAATTCAATACGTGTAACTTATGTTCTTGTAACAATTATTGACTTTATTGATTTACAGAATGAATCGGTTTTAAAAAGACAAATATTGAGAAGTAGCAATTCCCAATATATATTCTTATTTAGGTGAAATTGTCTATTGACAGTCTTTGAATCCAGGTATTGAAAAACAGAAGATAAAAAAGTGCCAGCAAGTTACCGGTAAAAAAAAAGTATAGCTTTGTAAATAATTACCCTAAATTCACTTAATTACAATATTTTAATTATCCTATCCCTATTTTTGAATCCTCACTTCAAATATTATTTTATGAAATTTGTAAATGTGATGTGGCTTGCATAAATTTTACCAGATGCATTAAATGGCCCTAGTTTTAATTGAGTTACTGACATCTGATCTATCATTATGTATACAGCAAACAGTGATGATGATTTGGTGGTGTTTACTAAAACTTTGAGTGGATTATTTTCATAATTTATTGTTTTCATTTAATATGTATGGTTTCAGTTCATCGGAAAACTGCAGATCAGGTGAGGAGACTACGTCCTCAAATACAGAAGAAAGCTTTCAAAAAAGAAATTCGTAATGAAGTACCTGTACCAAAAAGTAATCCCAAAAGTGATGCTCTGAAAGAATTGCAAAGACTTGATCAAGAAAATCAGGTAAATATTTTTAATATTTGCCTTGTCCATTAATGTGTAAATAGTTTTGAAACATAACAATTTGTTTTTCTTTTCCAGGCATGGATGGATAACTTTGAAGATGACCTGGAACTCCAAAGATGTGGTGGTTGTGGTAGAAGATTTGAAAGACGTGCTGCGTTAAATTCTCATTCTCAAATCTGTCAGAAACGCATTGCTGCCAGAAACAATGTTAAAGCAACACGTAATTTACAAAGCACATCTAGTCCAGAGAAAGTAATAAAAGTATCTCAGACAGATGAACGAAGGCTTCCAACAGAAGCAAATAAAAATACTAATAACGAAAACAAGAGTATAGTTTCTGTAAATACTATATTAAACCCCTTAGGATCAACTAGAACACCTCAGGGAGGCAACTGGGTAGATCAGCCGAAGAAGGAAATTCCAGAAAAGAAAATTGAAATACAAATTAGAAAAGATTATTGCAAAATGAGTAGTGCTAGTTCTGTAGTAGCACTTTCAAATGATACTCAAAGTGAGCCAGATAGTAGACCTCCCTCTAGAATGGTAGATGATGAGGACTGTTCTGTGGATGAAAGAGATTGGGACTCCATGATAGAAATGGAAGAAGTGAGTAAAGAAGAAAGTGAATCTGAATATCATCTTTTCAGAGATGCTGAGGGCCCAGATTTACTTATGAATGATGATGGTAAAGAAGATGAAGACACTGTTGGTACAAATTCACCTGTAGAGCATAGTGCAACAGATTTGGAATTAAATTCATCAGTAAAAGACAATGTGATAGATAGGTATGATGTTAGAAAAGATAATTTTTGTATGTATGGGAGGGCAGAAAATGTCCTCAAAAGAAGGGTATCAGATGATGGTACGTGCCTACAGAAAAATGAAGACAAAGAAAGAATTAAAAGAAGAAGAAAATCATTAGAAGATGAAAATTACAATGATGTAGAAGATACAACTAAAAGCATACCTTCTAAAACTAAAAAATTGGAACAGTTTCATCCTGTCATGGAAGCTCGCATGAAAAAACTCATTAATATACGACGATTGCAGTGCCTACCATGCCAAAAGAAGTTCATTAAACTTACAAACTTACGTAGACATGTGGCTGTGCATATTGGCTGGTGTCGTTATAAGTGTATGCTCTGTCCTTTCAAGTGTTTTTCAAAATATGATTGTGTAGACCATGTGTGTAAAATTCATTTAAAGGGTTCGCAGCGAAGTAAAGCTGCCACGATGGTGGAATATATTGAAGAACAGGAAACAGAAGCTACAGTAGGTTCAGTAGAGATAGAAGAATCAAATGATTGTTGTGATATTGTTAGTAATGAGGAAGAAGCGTCAGAGTCTTTATCTGTGGAAATAAAATCTCTCAATTTGGAAGACATTAAAAATATTGTTGGTGTAACGTGTTTCTCTGATGATGTGAACAAAACTGACTATTCCAGTTTGGCCCTAGAGGTTAAAACCAGTTCACCTTCACCAGAGCATTCGTCAGAAAACAATACCTTGCTTATTTCAGAGGGGAAAAAAGATGTTTTGGGAAGTTCAAATGTTCAAACTGTAGATGCTATTGAAGAATTTCATGATATTATTTTAAAAGAAGAAAGTACGAAATCCAATGAAAATAAATTTGACTCATCTGCACGTTCAGAGGTAATTGAAGATGAATTACTAAAAGACAATATATTGCCTGGCGAAACAACGAATGTAAGTGATGATCTTAGCAAGACAGAGCAAATCGGATATTCAGAAAGTGTATGCATTGATGTTGAAGAGAGAGAACAATCAAAAGATGATAGTGAATTGAGATTGGAGCCATGCTGTTTGGGATCAGATGAAACTGAGGATGTTGTTGGAGATGAACCAAAGCAATTTTCTAATGTTTCTGGTGATACACATAAAGAAGAAGATTCGCTAAGGAATTCAGATGAGCCTGAAGGGAAAGAAGAAATATCTGATACAACTTCTGAAGTAATCTGTGATGAGTATGAGCAGAATTCAACACCACTGGTAATGAAGGAAGACACGCAGGAACATTTCAAGGAACAGGCCAATACAAATAACAAAAAATGCGATAGCATGGAATGCTATTACCAGGCTAGTGAAGTAGAATGTGCTGAGGAGATGATTGTAAGAGAAGAACAAGAAATGGAACCAGAACAACCAATGGAAAGCACTGGAGACACAAGTGACACTGATGGTAAGCATTTCTTTAATTTTTACTTTCTATTATACATATTTATACAGAATATACTCCTCTGCTTATAGAGTATAGAAGTATACTTCTCTATTCTTATAATATGTAGTACAGAGAAAGTGACGTAATTTTGATTTTGTTATTTCAATGGATAAGTTTCGATTTTGGATTTCAATGGGAATAAACCCTTGGGTTCTGATAGTAAAAAAATGAATTTTGTTTAAAATGTCCCTCCATCTGTCCATCCGTTCATCTTTCATCAACACTAGAACCTAAACTATTTGCACAATTTTTTCCAAAACGAATACTCCTAGGTTGATTTGAACCAATGTGAAGATCTGCAATTTTAAAGACATTCTTTAAATTTTGGGTGTATTTTACATGAAACCCTTGCGACATTTTCAAAATTTTCTCAAAAATGGGTCTAAATTTGTTCCTTAAATATCTCATAAGAATAGAGTAAAATACATTTACAAAGAATTTTGCCTGTTTTCTCAGAATTTTCAAATTGCAAAAGTTCATTTTTCTAAATCATTTTTGCATTTTCCTGTAACTACAATTTTGAATGTAGATATTTTTTCGTCAAATAAAATTTGTTCTCCTTATTTAGTTCTTTAATTAATGTTGAGAAAATTTTTATAGTTTTTGTCTAATTTTGAGTGAAATATGCTGAATATTAATAAATATTAAGAACAAGATTTTCTCAAAAATGACTCCATGTTATTTCTTTAAACTTTAAGTAGGGATAGGGCCAAATGCATTGTACAAGATGACATAAATGCCATTTTTGCTTTATTCTTTTATTTTTGAAAAAGAATCATAAATGTATTTCTTTTAATCTCACTTTCATGACATTAATATTTCCAGTAGTAGGGATTTGTATTCATTGTTGATTTCGAGTACAAATGCTGCAAATAATGACTTTTCAGCACTTGTACTCCTTACATTATTGCATTAGTGAACACAACTGTTTCCAATGATTTCCTTAGAATTTTCTTGAAAACTCAAAACATCTGTTAAAATTAGCTCAAAATTGTGCATTTTGAGAATAACTCAAACAACATTTTCTCAAAAACGGCTCCAACTTTTCCAACAAATATCTGCATAAAGGACCAAGTTTTACTTTTTTATAATATTCATAAAGTCATTTTTCAGTTCTACCATTGCCAAAAAAAATTGAGAAAATGTGATAAAATGCCCTTTAGGTGGCAATAGACAGCAGGATAGTTTAGAATGCAGAATGTATTTTTTCTAAAGCATCTTCTCAATAATAGCCCATTTCCCGGTATTTTTAATGAATGTAAACAATAGCTAGTAACTGTTTAAAAAAAAATGTTGATTTTGATTTGATTTAGATAACATGAGTGCTGTTGATTGCAAATCAGAAGAGGAAGAAGACGACGATGAAAAAGAAGATAAAGAACTGTCTGAATTAATGGGTGTTTCTAACAGCCCTCGAAATCCTGAAAAAGACGAAAATGCCTTACGTAAAATGGTGATGGAAGTCATTTTTGGTTCTGGTGGAACTTCAGACTCTCATCCTGATACAAATCAAAATTTAATATCTGCTACTGTAAATGGCAGTGTGTTTGATGAAGATGGTAGTAGTAGTGACGGCAGATATTCAAGAGCTTCCAGTGCATCAGAGTCTGATGTTGTTATTGTCAGTAACCATGTAACTTCTCCATCATCAGAAATTGTTAAAAAAGATGTTGAAATAGAACATGGACATAGCTTTGAAGGTGAAAGGAGAGAGAGACCTGTGAGGAATAGAGTAAAAGTGGAAAAAGAAGATTTTATTTATGACTTTACGGATTCGTTTTTGAAGAAAGAAGAACCTTCAAAAGTCAGTAATAATATTGGTGGTAACACCAGTGGTAAGAAGAAATTAGGAGACTCAGGAAAGGAAAGTGTTAAATATGACCATTCTCACAATAGTACTTTATTCAAAAGTGTACCTAAAATGATGATCGTGAGGACAGATGCTAGTGAAACAGCTGGTAGTAAATGTGTAACTGGACCAATAAAAGGATCATGGAGTAGTGTTTATGCTCCAACATCAGACTGTGCAGGCAATAAAAATTATATGGAATCCAATTCACAAATGTGTAGTTCTTCAAGAAAAGTACCTCGAACTTATGATGTTAAACAATAATGGCTATAAACATTATTTATAAGTGTACAGTTTCAAAAGAAATTACTAAAAATGTTTCTATTGTTTATTTCTCCATATCAATATGAGCTTTATTTTGTATATGATGTGCTCTTATATTTAGCTAATAAGTGAGAACTTACATGGTTCCTTGAAGAGAAATAATCTTGGGCTTGAATAAACATCAGTGATAACTTTTTCAATATTTTTATCTGTGTTTATGAATAAATACAGAATACTAGTGCCAGTTAACTGTTTTTTAAACAAGTGCATTGTGTAATATTCCAAAACTTTGCTTTAATTGTTTTTATTATAGAAACTTTTCAACTTTTACATTTTTCAGAAGTAGTCTTCAAATGTATAAAATTTGGAAATTGTTACTTGTGATAATGTTAAAGAAAAGATGTCACACAATATGCAAGAAATGCAAATTAAATTGATTTCTTCAAAAGTTTGTAATTTTATCACGTGCTTCTTCAGCACTATAAACAGGAAAGAAAACTTGGGCTTTTCTTGCATTTCTGTCAGTATCTTTTCTGGAATGACTCCTGATGAAATTGGAACATGGTGATTTTCATTACACTTGTTGTGACCACAGAGGTTTGTTCAAGCATTTTGTAGTTTTTTGCAATCTTCAAAAGGTAAAATAGTTTTTAAAAAGGTACCTTCCCAAGAAAATAATTTTGTGTGTCATGTTGTGAATATTGTTGTTTTTTTTCATTTCTGTTCTTATTTGTCCTTATAAACAATATTAGCTCTTTGAAATATTCCATATTCACATTGTGTTAAACATTAAAAGCTGTTAATGCAATATAACATTTGAAAATGTGTGTGGAGAATCAGGGATGTAGTTTTGAGAGAAAAAAATGCTCAATTTAAAAACTTGACTGTCATTTTTAATATAATATTATATTGCTTTTGATTCCCACCTAAGTTGTAATTCTTATCTAACTGAACATACTTGTACATTGAATTTGTAAATATCAACATTCTACATAGAAATACACTCATTTGTCAACAAAATAATTTTCTAATTGTGTCATCGTTTTGTGTGGATAATTGCCAATTACAATTTCATTCTTGATTTAAACCTTCTTCCAAATATATTTTCTTTTAAGTATAGGTTGGAATATGTCAAAAATTCTATGTGCGTGCGCGTGCGCGTGTGTGTGTGTGTGTGTGTCTATACACACATATTACACAGGGTGGGAAACAAGGGAAATTTCCCCCCTAAATATTTTCTGTAACTATTAATTTTAACTTGTCACAAAACTTTCAAGTAAAAAGTATTTTCAGATTATCATTAAAGCAAAATTGTATCGCATGAGCTGAATGTAGCCTGCAACATTTCAGAAATGATGTAGATTTTGACGGTTTGTCACATATATGTGATTGGACTGATGTAATTTCTACTGTACTCAGTATTGAACAATATGTGTCACAAGGCTTCAAATATTCTAGCCTGCAACATTACAAAACATGTAATGACACATTTGACCATAACATTTTTAATTTTCCCTCCCAAAACTTGTCCCTGGATCCACCTCTGATTTATATGTCAAATAGGATTCTCATCAAACATGTAATAAATACAAATCCCTACAAAACTTATTATTCATTGTTTTTCGTATGAGAAATCTCATGATGCAGAGGAATTCCAGAAATAAATTAATTCATCCATAGGTTCCAGTCATGATCTCCTTTAGGAAGCTATGGTAGAAACGTTTACAGTGTAGATAAAAACTTATAACATACTTTAACATTCCAATTAATACAAGAATGAGTGTTAACACAAGAATTGCAGGAAATAATTATTGTTATTCCAATGATGCTGTTTATTAAAAATTTATAACTTTTGTACCATTTCTTTTCAAACAACAATGCAAGTCAATTAATATGAGTTTATTAACAATATCTAACAAAATAATTGTGTAAAACTCTGTGTCTGATATCGTTAATATGACTCACGCGCCGCTTACAAAATTTTATAAATTGAAAAAATTCCACAAATGACGAACATGTATAATATTTGAAGCAATTTAGCCCTGTGACACACATTGTGCGATACTGAGTACAGTAGAAAATACACAGTTGAGTCACATTAATGTAACTAACCGTCAAAATTCCGAATAACCGCCTTTTGCAGCGCTGACTGCTTGAAGACGTGCAGGAAGTCATTTAGGTATTGGCTGGTTATACCGCCAGGGAGCCATGCCTCCAGAGCCGTGGCCAGCCCCGCTAGGTTCCTCGGTTGCGGATCCGTGGCCCGAACGAGGTGGTCCCACAGATTCTCGATTGGGTGTCAATCGGGTTAGTTTGGTGGCCAGGACAGCACTGTAAACTCATCCTGGTGCTCTTCGAAATACGCACGTATACTGCGAACTCTATAACACGTTGTGTAGTTCTGCTGGTAGATGCAGTCTTGCTGTTGAAAAACGATCTGCGTCAAGGGGTGGACACTATCCCTAAGGGTGGCTGCATTCTTCTGTTGATCCATTGTACCTTCCAGAATTACGAGATCACCCAGGGCATGCTACGAAAACATTCCCCACACCATCCTCCGGCCAGAGCCGTCCGGCGATTGTTGCGGGGTGTTCGCGTTCAGACGTTTTACGCCGTGAATACATACGCCAACGACCATCTGTCCGATGGAGCAGAAGACGTGATTCACCTGAAAAGGTCACTGTCGCCACTCTGTGTACGTCAAGTTGCTGTTTTCCAGCCTTCGTCGCCGATGAACAGCAGTCAGCATGAACCAGGCGCCTTCTGCAGAGGCATAGATTAACGCATCTATTCGTCCATGGCAGAGGCCGATACGAATACGCAACAACGTTCGCTGAACGGTTGTTGAGACCTCAGAGAGATTCTGTTGATTGCCCCTTGATTCATCTGGGCGGTCAGTTGCTCCACTGTTGCGTGTCTACCAGCCCGAACACATCTCCGAATGGCATCGTTTCCCCCTGTTATCTAAGAACCATGGTACTCCACAGTTGCCTCGGCACCGGTTTTGGATATCGCCTTTTTGCCATGGACGATAAACTTTCACCACGGCGACAAGGTGGAAATTTCGGAATTGCTTCCGCCCTTGGCCCGAAAATCAATGATTATGCCCTTTTGGACGTCCGATAAATCATTAGGCAGATTCGATAAAAGCAGCCAAGCGACGCCAAGATCGCAGGTACACTAAAGCTTCGCAAAGTCAACAAGGCTCACCAAAAATCGGATACTACGGATACAAACTCGGTTGGGAAAAAATCACAACCCAAGTGGACTTGACAGAATGCGAGACAATACCGATAACTTTGTAATCCAACTTTTGATAACAATCGTCTGCATTTGCAAAAGAGGTTGTAGATAGGATGTGCTGGATATCAGATTCTAACTGTAGAAAAATAGGATTACAATGCTCCACATTTTGTGGTCATTGATAGGAACGGTGTTGTTACAAGTGTTTCGTAATACAGAGCGTTCAAAAAGTATCTCTACTTAATATCGACAAAGGAACGTGATGTGAAACTTGAAATGCAGAGGGGGTGAAAGTAACGCTAAAATAATAATAATAATAATAATAATAATAATAATAATAATAAAGATATATAAATATATTACTCATATTTATCTCATTACGTCATGTGTGGAGAATGTTTACCAGAATTTTGAAAGCAAAACACCCATTTACATTTTTTTTTCGACAATTCTTTGAATCTTTTAATTCCTCATGGTCTTGGAACGAGTTTTGTAGACTTTTCTTTTAGCTGCTCCCCAGAAAAAGAAATCAGGATGTGCGATATCTGGTGATCTTGGCGGCCATAGCCTTTTCGAAATTATGCAATTCCCAAACACGAACATTTGTTTCACATCATCCGTGTACTTATTGTTCCAAACACATCGCACTTCCAATAGAAAAGTGACAAGTGGGAATTTCTGATTTCTCAGAAATTGCAATTTTAAGTTATGTAGTTCTGTAATACTCGTTATGGATTGAACCAAATATTCACCTTCTAGCGGACAGTAATTGCACTAATTCAAAATCAACTTCAGAATAGTAGTAGTACCTACTGGTACCCTCTTTCAGCTTTTAGCTGAAAAATGACGATTTCGCACTTGTGTCACTTTTCTATTGGAGGTGCGACACGTTCCACCAAAAATACACATTCTTCCAGTGTCAGCATTCTAAGAGTTATAATCTGACTCTCAACAAACAATTTGTTCGTAGTCAAACGGAATGAGTTACTTTCATACGAAAAATGAGATCACGTATTTTTATTTCAACTATTGCTTGCTTGCAGCGAGCACGCTTCTGAGAATAACATTCGAACTCCATCGCTCTGTCGCGCTGATTAACCCAACGAGGTTGCAGTTTCCGCATAAAGGATAGTGCAATGGGGAGGCAGAAACTGCGGAGAGAATTTTTGAATGCTGTGTATTTACGGGAGTCTCTTTCTTCAGGCTACTGAAGAAAAACAAGATAATATTATTGTATATTAACTATACAGAATATGATAAGAAGGTTACCTACTTAGTAGAAAGTCAACACAAATTTGATACTATTTTTGTCTGCATACTAACCATGATGTCCAGCAGTCAGAGAATTTTTTATTGCCTGGAAATATCATGGAATTATGGGAAAATGTGAATTTCTTAACTAGAGAAAGCTGGGAAATCCGGAACAGACATGTACCTGTTCAATGTCCTTTGTTTTATTTTAAATTGCATCTAGTAATTCATGGATGTGAAAGTTATCTTTCTTAAAATGTTAACTTTTGTGGGAATAGGAAGTGCATCGATGGTATTTAGATAGATATTTTTAAAGATAATAAAATTAACAAGCAGAAAATTGTTCCCTCGGTCTGAGTTTTGGCTGAATGATCGGAAACAGTTGCCTTCTGTCTATTCTGGATCAAACTTGGAGCACCCTACGCAAATGTGTGGAGTAATGTAATTGACAGAACTTTTGACAGATAGAGAGATCACAGCACAAGACAAGTTGGGATACTCCATTTGGAATCCTATAGTTTTGAGAGAACAGTCCGAACCATAGTAATGTCTGTTACTCAATGTGATTGCGAGGGGTTCAATTCTACAAAATCAAAAGCAAACATTGGTGGTACTCCAGTTGTTTGGTCAAGACACACATCTTAAACAGATATAAGCGCAGAAATTAAAAAGCAAAGAGGATATTAATGGCTCTGATTATTAACAGTAAATAGGTAGATGCAGATTTAAAAGGAATAAGGAAAGAAAGCAGCATAGATAATCTTCTGTACTGTTTCAAAATTTGTCTTCTTGGGAA